AATCGGCGCCCACATTTTTTAAAATCTTGTCAACACAACTGCAAGCCTTCGGGTGTTGTAGATGTCCATGGGTGGCGGTATTCACTTAACATCAAGTGCATCTGCACGCTAGGCATCTTTTCGCATAAAAATTAAACATTTATATCGCATTTTGACTAATTGGCAGTAAGATTTTTGTTTAGATTTTAATATATTTCACGATCTCCTTTCTTTTCTTACATCCTTGGCATTCTTGGAATCCGTGAGCTTGATCCTGCAAGAATGCCAACTTAGGAGCTTTGTCCCTAATTTAGGAAGAAAAATTACAATTGAAGTTTTTTTAACGGTAAATTAACCAAGACTTCCTAAATGATTCTTATTTAAAAGGTTTTGGTTAGAATTTAGTGAATTTTAGTGGGTTATTGAATTGCTTTACGAGTATTTTTTTGAACAGTTGGTGATACTGATCCAGCTACGCTATTATTTAAAACCATTAAAATCGTTGCAATTTTAAGTAGAGGTACCTACTTTTTGTACCTTCATTTAGAAACCACTAAAATTAACAATTTTAGTGTGAAATATGTCACAGACAGATTAAAAATGATGTGTTTCTAATTGCCATTAAATTTTCAGGAAGTCTAAGTTTAACAATACAAAGCTTTGCTTACTGTTACGAAAATGTTTGCTTTAGAATTTTTTTCAGGAGTCATATACATCGTTATCTATTTTAAAATAATGCAAAGTCCCCCGAACACCTTATTTAAGAAAAAAATATATACACACTTCAAATAATTTTATAATAAGTTAACCTAAGTATTGCTAAGTTCAAATTTATAATTTCCCAATTTTTCCAATTTTCCTAATTTAGTTTTTTTTTCTCAGAGATAAAAGATTTTTTTTTAGTTAGGTTCCTGTTCTATATTTCAAGTTTGTTTTGTAAGTGTTGTGTTTACCTGTTATTTAAATATGTACATATATTGTTTACGACTTTAGTATTAAGTTAAACATATTTACATTTCAATGTTCCGTATGTATTTAGTTGGTAAGCCTTAATAAATAAATTAATAAATTAAACCACATATGGACAAGTAATTTGATTACAAACGACAAAGTTCGAAAGCGTTAACATTCAATAGTTCGATAACAGAGTGAAGAAAGCCTAGGCAACTCGTTAATCACGGAAAGTTTGAAACGGAACTTAGCAACTCCCTTCCAAACTTCGCGGACCGTACGTTAACTAACGACATTATCATTTTGCTTCTAGCAAAACTACAGGTCCACTTGCAAGTTGCCATAACTTGTATTTAATATTAATGTTATATGAACAGTAAAAATGACTGTGAAAATTAAAAAACAATACAGCAAATATAGTCACTGATAGAGCCTGCTTAAAGGCTGCAGAAACAAAAAGATATATTTTTATAATTTTCAAAATAATTGTAGTGAAATGTTTAAGTTTCACCAGTTTTAAAATACAATAATAAACTCTATCTGTCTGGTTAATACCTGTCAGCATTAGCAGACTTATATATTATATTTTTGTTGTTATACGCACGTGGTTGACATGAAACCATTTTCCCCTTTCGAAAATCGCTTAGCGCGCCTAAACAAGTTTTAACTTCAAGAGTCGTTATTACACATCTTTAAAGCTTTATACCAAGTACGAATTACAGTCCTGTATAAGTCATACTTGGCAGAAGCGTTTAAATGTTTCTACCGACATCTGCTCGTAACTTATTCTATTTATAATGACTGTGACTTTATTATGACGTAATAAGCGCGATACTAAAATACGATTCTTTTTCCCATATTTTCAGTCATTTGTATTCAGAATACATTTGTGAGCGTTCGTGACTTGATTCCTGTGCCCGCAGTAAAGTAAATTTAGCTTTTGCTTTTTAACAATTCGTTTAGGTAATTGACATTGAACGCGTGTTATTTCAGCATTAAATCAAAAGTCGTTGGATATTAGAATCAATTTTCAGATAACAGCTAGCAAAATAATTCAGGAGCTCATGTTCGGAGGGGTCACAGATTGAAAGTTCTCTTAGATACAACGTTTAACACATATAAAAAATATAGCATCATCGATAATACTTAAAAAGACATGACTAGATTAAATATATTATCGTTCGTTGTGTTTTTATTGCTTTTCTTCTCGAGACCCGTCGAGCTGCGCGGACGCCGTAACTGATGTGGTGTGTCTAGGCAATGTATTTCATCCCATTTGGTAATTCGGTGGCAAAGCACGTCCATGGTTTGACGCTGAATGTGCTCGGGCTGAAAAGAGCTAGCATTCGGCCTACTTATTCTGGGTTGAAAAGCTCGACACCGAGTAGTCTCTAAGTCCTGGGAACTGAAGAATGCGCAGGCTATTCCAAAAAAAGGTAGTCTTGCTGATCCTGCCAGTTACAGACCATGCCACTCAACTTTAGAGCGAGGCCCTCGAGAACAATGGTGAAACTTGTGGTTACCCTAGATATTTCAAAGGCCCTTGACATGGTTTGGCACTCCAGCCCCCTAAGCAAGTTTCTAGCGTACGACATATCTCCTGGCCTAATCGGTTGGGTGAAGGACTTTCTGAGTGAACGCTTTTCGAGTAGTCATCGACGGCTGTTCATCCCAGCCAATGGCGACTAATGCCGACGTTCCTCAGAAGTCCTTTCAGCAATTTACGTGTCACTTTCCCGCAAAAAGAAACCCCTTCACCTTGGCACCTATTTTCCGCAATGTGTCCTTGGATTATACCGACCACCCTGCAATTGTTGGGAGTGGAAATATCCTCAAACTTTAAACTTCGGGCCGTTCATTGAGTCTAAAACCAAAGCAGCTGCAGGGCACTTAGGCATCCTTGCAAATTTTGACGGTACTTCTTACCGGGACCGCTTATTACTCAAGTCCGATCGTGTGTGGAGTACTGCTGCCATATCTGGGCTGGGGCTACAAATATCGTTTGGCTGCCTTAGACTCAATGGGGAAACGTGTGGAAAGAGTCATTGATGAATGTAACTTGGTTAAAAGCAATCTCACCAGCCTTGGGCAGAAGCGCAGAATAACCAGCCTCTCGGTTTTTTACAGGATGCATTTTGGAGAGTATGCATTAGAGTTGATCGATTTGATTCCTCCTGCTCTATTCCGTAATCGAACAACTAGTCGTTCGATGAGATTCCACCCTTTTGCCAACGATCCACGGACAAGAATGAAGTGATTTGCTTGTTAACTCATCATCCATATCTAAGGAATGGAACAACCTGCCGGTGTCCGCCTTTCCGTCGGATTATAATGTCGACTATGTTAATGTCTTCAAGGTAAGTGAATAGGCTTTTACTGAGTTAGCGCGCTTACCATCAATTTCTATATCACCACTTACTATTACGTAAGATGGCAGTCAAGCGCTGGCCAGTTCCAAATATAAAAATTCTATTCTTTGGATTTGTAATGTTGCGATAATGCTATCTATAGGCTAGTTTCTATTGTGTGTGGGGGTAAGATAAACCTGAGACATTTTGCAGCTTTGCTTTGACAGATTTGGTCGTTCTCTTAATTCTCTAAAGTGTCAAGCCGTTGTAATTGGGACACATCCAATCCTGAAGAAAATTAACATCTTTTATTACGATTATGTTCGATGGGACTGCAAGGGTAGTCCTACCTAACAAACAGTATCTTGGGTTCTACATTTACACCAACTTTTTGATGGCAAGCTCACACAAGATATTCAAAAGTAACTGGTTTAAAATATTTTCTCTAATTGATAATGGTTAGATGACCGAACACGTCTTTGAACAGACTTGTTCGATTATTGAAGGATACATTTTCAGGGATTATACTACTAATAGCGAATATTATTTTTAATATACACTGTACACTTTAAAAAACAGAATCTTGATCCAGAGGAATTTTTGTTTTTTCTACAAGGGAGGGTAAAGTTGGTTCATATATCTGACTAGTATTTATATTCTTATTGCGGTTTTGACAAAGTTACGAGAATGTATATTATTTTATTTAACGCGAGTACCGTCTTAAATGCAACTATAGCAGAAACAGATTATTTTTATTCCGCTAACGTTGCTTTTAGGTAATAAGATGGTGCTTTGTTACTGTAGCGGAAGGTGCTCTACTACGTTTATTTATTTTCTTTCTAGGTTTACTTCTTTTTAATATATTTTGAAACTTTTATTTATTTTCCAATGTAAGTCGAATGCGAATTTAATTAATATACTTTCTTAAATTTAATTTTTCGTAACTACACAAAAAGGATGTTACTCGTTGTCTTATATTTATAAAACTTGTTACCTATTTTTTCTTTGGTTTTAGAAAATGATATAGTCTATAAAAGCATAATGTGAAAATAGTAATAACATTCTCTTTATGTTATGCGTCGGGCGGTTTCTATGTATGAATACACTTTCCTTTTTACTTGTATAAAACAGTTCCAATCATCGCTGAATTTTTTGGGAGAAAAGACTCTCATTGTGGGGTTCTCTACTTTTTGGGACGATGCATTTGAAACAAGTAGTTGACAAGGGTACTTTCGATGTTTTGCAAATTTCTTTTAATATAGTTTACTTATATAGTTTTTTATTTTCAATGAATCAATTATTTTCAATGAGCCGTGATAGCTCAGTGTCCGGGCGCTCGCCTTTAATTCAATATACTCGAGCAACCTGAGTTCGATCCCCGGTGCCGGCACCAATGAAGTTTTTAAGTTTAAGTCCTGACTTATCACGTGCTCCGCGGTGAAGGAAAACATCGTAAGGAAACCTGCATATTTTTCGAAATAATAACAAAAAAAAATTTATATATATATATATATTTCGAAAATATGTGAAGTCCGCCAATCCGCAGTGGGGCCGCGTGGCGGACTATGCCCTGATACCCTCTGTATAGAGGAGGCCTTTGCCCAGCAGTGGGACATGTATAGGCTGTTACTTTACTTTTTTTTTTACTTGGCACTATGTTCTAATTGATGGTTATAACGTGTTCCTAAAAACTGGACTTTTAGAAAAGCTCAGAGTCACAGAATGACTATGGAGAGAGCTATGCTCGGAGTTCTTTGCGCGAAGAAGAACCAGAGTCAACGACATAGCATGCAAGCTGAAGTGGCAATGGCGACCAGTAGTGGCAATGGCAGTAGCGACCACGAACCGGTAGACGACCGGTAGAGTTGGAAGGCCTCACTTTGGGTAGACCGACAACATCGTAAGAGTCGCGGGCAACCAATGGATGCAAGTGGCGGTGTCGTTCGCTGTGGCGTTCTAAGGGGTAGGTTTGTGTTCAATAGTGGACGTCTTACGCCCGATGATGATGCTGTTAGAATTAATTATTGTATGATAATTCCATTTTACGCCAGTCTAAGGCTGTGCTAGTTCCCTGGACGAGCCCGCACATTCGTGCAAAGCAGAATCTGCTGCAGCAAAAGAGCCTACCCCTTCCAATTCCTTTGCCTGCAGAAAGTTCATCAAATTCAACGAAGACGGTGGTAGGGCTACGCAGCAGCCTTGGCTGTGCACGAATGGGCAGACTCGTCCGGGTAAGTACCACGAACTCACAGAAGACCGGCGTAAAGTGGAAGTATAATACTTTCGCGTTTCGTCTGGTGATTGAGGTAGCCGGAGCCCGGTTTTCAACGCATTTGCAAACCCTCGGGTGTAGCAGATGTCCATGGACGGTGGTATTCACTGAATATCAGGTGAACCACCTGCTCGCTTGGCAACTTCTCACATAAAAAAGATGATGGTACAGGGACTGGCCCAACAAGACTGAACCGCGGAATTGTATGAAATGTACGAATCAGGGCATCCTGCAAACTAGCGCAGTTATGGAACCTTACGTTATGCCATTAAACGCTTGACAGACCTGCACCCGTGAAACAATTTGCGCCCTTAATTGTGATACCTATGTTAACCACCCTTCCGATTGGGTTTTGTCTAATTATGGCGCAGGCGATTAGTAGCTGTGACTTGTTCTTCTTCAACAAAGCCAAGAGTACCAAAGGCTTGTGGTGAAAGACTGGGCCGAAGAGGCCACTACACTTCGGGCCATTGGCCCCGAGGAACCAGTTTCCTTGGCCACTGCAACCGAGGGAGAGTCGCGAGGAAAAGTATTGCGGTACTCCCTTTTCCCAACTCTCTGCGGACAAAACAGGACGACCGGGACCTGGACATGAGGTTATGGCTCTCTGGGCTTCATTGGTGTTTGGGTAGTGGACTCAGTGGAGTGTGCCTGTCCAAAATGTGCTCCCTTAGTCTGAAAGCAGGACCCTTTAAATTCACGGTTAGTTGAACCAAACGACGTACTATTAGACTTCCATGTCTGAAAAAGCCGAATACTTATCGCAAAAATTAGAGTTTTAACATATGCCTATTATGCAAAGATGTATGTAATGATTACTTGAAGGAAGGCGTAATTGAACTTAGAGCTGTATTACCACAGGTTGAAAAGGTACTCAACGCAGCAACACTGTAAGAGTCCAAAGGCATTGTACAAGTTTAAAACTCCGTTCTATCCTAGATCCAGGCAGAATCAATAGTAAAATCACTCAGGCTCGCATATTTGCCTACGGTATAGCATATTTCAAGTGGAAAGATGCTATCGCTATCGGCATTCCAAATCTTTTCAATAGTTATCGTTCGATTAGTTTCCTCAATTGCTGGGGGAAACTATATAAGCAAAAAAATTCCAATAAGTTAACATTTAAATTGACATTAAATTTATTAACTTTCCAGAGAAATTTGATTTAAGGGCAAGCTAGTTTTTAAGTTTATTTAAACCGATGAACCGTTTGATCTTTCTTAATGTTCCACTTTTAAAAATATATAGAAATCAAAGTTATCAATAAGAGATTCAATGATAAAAGTTATAAATCCATATAAATATATTGGAAACTGATAAATAAATTTCTCGCATAAAATAAAAGTTCCCCTGCGACCAAATCTGTTGCCCTAATTGCCTATAAATTATTTTCTGTATATGGTACGCATATCTTTGTGTAACATGGCGCATAACAAGCCATTAAGGTACATACATACATAATTTTGCGATACGTAACTTGTGAATGTCATTATTTTATCTTTCTAGTAAAATAATACATTAGTAGGTTATTACATTTTGTATCCAGTTTTGGACAATATTAAACAAGTGAATAAATAATTGGTTATTTTCTATAAATAGATAAAAAATTAATTATACATGCCAAAGGCGGGACACTGATCGTTTAAACATATAGGAGATTGTATTATGTATCGGTAAGATTTGTGGGAAAACCATGCCATCTGAAATTTTTTTAATATTTCTAATTCATATTGGGTACCAAACACAGTTCAAGAATTATTCTTACTCCTTTCCATTCCATTCAATTCTCACGTTAAATTTCTCAAATTAAATCGAATTCTTTAACGGAAAGAAATTCCAAAGCTATATTGTTGAACTAAATATAAAAATACAACAGACATAACAAATTATTAAAATTAAATTTCTGCTTGCTTTCCTTATGTCCTCCTGATCTTTTTCGATTCCTTTACAAGCTTACTCGGGACATCAAATTGTCAAAGTTTCATTGAATTACAATAGGAGTAATGGAATAAGGTCAAACAATTCTTGTAATTATATTTAAGCATATTATTATCAGTAAAACTAACTATGCAGATTTTATCGCGTACTAGCGACCCGCCCCGGCTTCACAAGGGTGCAAAGTATTATAATAGGTTGGGGAAAAAGTTTCTTCGCATTTGATATGACAATTCAAAACATTTTTTAATAAAGTTTATTTACATTTCACTAAAGTATGTAGCTGCCATTTTGTTCGATACGTAAGGACATGATCCCATTGCTATAAATTTAAAATTCTGGGGATTCTGATAAAAAACCGCGATAAGTGTTTTTGGCAGTCCTCTCGTAATGTTCACCTGACTGCCTAAAGAATTCTGAAGAAACCGAAACAAGTAGAAATCTGAAGGTGGAAGGTCAGGACTATACGGCGGATGCAATTATACCTCCCAGTCAAACTCTCTTAATTTTTGCTGAGTGGCTAAATAGGTGTGAGGTCTTATTGTTATACTCGTTAACATAATGAAAAACCACACCCTTAATGTTGATTATTTCCGGCCGCATTCTCTCAACCGCTTGCTTTAATCTTGTTCGCAGTAGAGTTCAGAATGAATGGTTCTGACTGGCGGTTACAGCTCATAATGAATAATGCCCTTCCAATCCCAACATACACACAGTATTAGCTTGTTGCGAGATAACTCGGGTTTTCAGTCCAGAGTCTGTGAAGCCTGACTAGCCTTTGACCACGACCTTTTTCGCACGTTCTTGTTGTACGTGATCCACTTTTCATCATCAGTTATCAGGTTTTTCAAAAATGGTTCAGTTTCATTACGTCGTAATAAAGAATCACATATGGGCACCCAAATATCGATATTTTTTGTGTAATCAGCTTTTTTCAAATGCGCCAAAATTGTTTTGTGGTCAATTCCCAGTTGAAATAACACAATTATATCCAACTAACATAGGTCAGGTATATAGATCGGAATTAAAAAAAACACTTGGCGTTCCTCAAGGTACTCGGACCATTGTTATTTATATTATACATAAATCATTTGTCTCAAACTACAAAATCACTTTATTCGCCGGTGACATCTCAGTGATGATTACGACAAGTAAAAAAAAATCACTAGAGCAACATAAAACGGACATAATTAAAACAGTGAATACAATAGGTAAATGGCAAAATAAAAATAATCTACACATTAATTTAAGTAAGACACACATTATTAATTTTAATAACTCAAATTTTGATATAAATATGAAATATAATGGACAATTTCTGCGGAACGCTAATAAAACTACGGAACCAATAATAATTAATTAATACCTTTTGATGGCTCGGTGAAAAATCTCGGCCTTTACATGGATAATTCTCTGAGCTGGAATGTCCACATCAAGGAGATCAGTCGCAAGGTCTTTGCCACCTTACGTTTTCTGTATAGTTTAAAACACTTTCTTCCTTTCAAAACCAAACTTATTCTGGTTAATTCCCTTATTTTACCCATTTTGGATTATGCAGATGTCTGTTGCTCGGATCTAATCCAGGATCTCTTTAATAAGCTGGAGCGTCTCTATAATAACTGTATTAGGTACATTTTCGGCTTACGTAAATTTGATCACATATCTCAATATCGTTCCCAGCTTAAATGGCTCACTATGTCGTCAAAGACGTAGTTCTAGAATTTTTCTTACTCTCTTCTCTATTCTCAATGACCCTGCTTCTCCTAAGTACCTAAAGGAAAATTCCAATATCTCTCATTAATTCACGATAAAACACTTCGTTCCTCAGCTAGTAGAATACTTTGTACTCCGACGCATCATTCCGGCTTTTTCCATAAATCTTTTACTGTTCATGCTATACTACTCTGGAACTCCTTGCCTCAGTTCATCAGAAACGCACCAAGCAAGGTATCATTTAAGAAAATGCTCCGATGTCACTATGCCAATATTGCCGATTGTTAGAGTCACCAACTTTACTTGCATTACATTATATATATATATATACATAAATATAGTTATTGTATATATCTACACACACACACACACACACACACACACACACACACACATATATATATATATATATATATAAAGCGTGTCGTTACCATCGCGACAATAAATGAAAGGTAGGGGATAACTTTTTAAAGCTGTATTAAACATTTAAATACTTTAAACATCAATATTTACAGAGTTATTAAATTTTCCAAAACAAAGAATTTTTGAACACCCTTACCTATAAAAGCGTAACGTAAAGTTCATTTGTAAAGGTCACAAAGCATATGAATGGGTTGAATGAATTTAAAAGAGACAAAACATACTGTTAGAAGGAGAGGCTTGTAATACGACGCTGTGACGCGAGTTGTATTGGATGTTACAAATTTTGTTTCTTTTTTACTTAATTAGTTTGTTTGAAAAATATTTTTTTTTAATTATGGATTTTGTTTAACGTTAATATTTTTTTATGATTATTGGCAAG